ACGAGTGCAGTTTTTAAAAATATCTAGAAGCTATGGAATAGAAGATAAACATTAAATACGGTTTGATCGGAATGCACCACGTCCACGGTCCGACTCTGGAAATGATTATGCATACAATGGAGTCAGGACAAGGTGCGTTTCTATAAGTCTTCCTACCATCATGACCAAGTTTCGAAAACAAGGTCAAACAACTTATATTAAATATGGTATTAAAACAGTGGGTAAATAGAAGATTTGTTGAACATTAAGTGGTCTCATAATAAACCATTAGGATGGCATAGATTCAAGATAGAAAATTATTCCAGTGCCGATTAAAATTTACAAAATTATCGTAATATTCCTAATGAGCGGAGAACTTATAAATTTGTATGTAGAGGGAAAAAGCAAAACCAACAACCGACATTTACTAACGGTTTGAGTAGTAACTAACCTTGGTTGAATTTTAGAACAGCAGAACCGACGGGAAAACATATAACTGAGGCATCGGGGCCGTATATTATATCAGAATAAGCTTTCACAAGCTCAAGCAAGTCAATTAAGCTGAAATCAGAGGCATCAACAACTCCACGAGGGTCGATGTGCTTCAGACTGATTTCAATAACATTTTCAAGGGTCTTTATAATGAATGATATATTTTCCACATCATGCATCGAGCAACACGGGCTTGGATATGGGACTAATGGAACCATCATACATACAAATAATTACCTGAACCCTTCCCATGTATTGACATAAATATTTCAACTAGAACACGGTGGATCGTCACTTGAGTACTAGAGAAAGGATGCGACTTTTCATGTACATATCCTGAGCGAGTGGATGACGAGAGAAAAGGAAAGGAGCAAGAAGGGGGAAGCGAGACGAGCGGCATGAGATAGCCGATTTTGAAAGCAAAGCCTCCGCACAAGATGCAGAAAGGAAATATTTAAGTTACTCCAAACATAAGCCTGAAATATATTCTTGTCTCGAAAAATGCTATTGATTTTTTAATTTGCTAATTTTTTAGTTTAATGCTGCATACATAAGTATCCTCAATTAACAATTACGAAGTCGCAATCAGTCCTCGATGAAAATGTGTCTTTAAAGAAATCAACGCAATTCTTTTATTCTTTCTATGGATTACCTTGTGTGATATTGGAATCCATTAAAAATGGGTATGGAACAGGTTTAGAAGAGTTACATTTAGCTTTAATCAAATGTAAATATAACAAAGGATCTTAGTATTGGGGAGAACAAACTAATCAAAATTTAAAAAATCAGGTGATTATATTGTTCTCATTTATAGATAGTTCTGTCATAATGCTTTTAAGAAACATCTCTAGAGCAGAAGGAGAGAATAATATGGTTAACATGCTGGTAAGACACCGAAAATTAAAATTTTAGGTAGAGACTTGAAGGATGTGTCCATATATGCAGAAATTTGCTTATATAGCACATAATAGGAAAAATGAAAACTCTCTTTAGTTAAAGATGCAAAGTCTGGTGGATCCACTCGAAGTGTTAAGTCCGACTGGCTAGAATGGAGAAAAATATAATTTTACCAAGCTTGCGCATAAAAACTAGGATGTGTTAAACATGTCAGGAAATTATTATTAAGGGGACCTTCAGTTCACATGAAAGTGAATGAAGAAGGGATTCGTTAGTCGATCTTATCAGATGAGGAGGGATGAATCTCGTTGTACTGCAGCCGTTTGGCTTGTATAAGATATTCATTTTGACGCAGTCCACATGACTTCCTCCTTCGTTTTGGGTGAAGACGTGCTGAGATTTCGTCCATAATATGATGAACATCATCATAGCAGGGTTTCATTATTGTAAATGTTCCACGTTAACATTAGACCAAGAACATTATCTCTATCTTACTTCTCATATATAGACTCAATTGAGCCAAATGAAATTAAAAACCTAGATAGATCGATATAGGGTGGTTTGGTTAATTTGCTTTCATACTGGTCCTGCTATTTTTGTTCGATTGTATGAGTATGTGTATTTGTGCGTTTTAACGTCTATATGAAATACGGTTTCTAAATCAGAGTTGTCAAAGTTCTAATCTCAGGCTCTGATCATCAAGACCTAATGACTCAAGATAAAGCCTTGATTGAGACTGTGTAGGTCCGTGAATAAGTATGGCTGAGATAATGAGATATAAGCTCGTAAGCATGAAAGTCAAGTTACGAAACCACTTGTCCTAACCTTTTAGTCTAGGGTCATTAACGTTCAACCCCAGGGACGGGGCTGTGTAATCTAGCACGTCTGTTTTGGTTGATAAGATTAGTCTAACATGTTGGACGAGTGTGAGTGAAGTCCCCACAACAAGGTTATCTCAGGAGATTCATCGAAGCCCAGTTTCTCTTTGTATCATGAAACATAATAGGAAGAACCCATATAGATATACTACCTTAATTCCGTCTAGAATTAATACAAAATTTAGGAATAAATCATCGTAATAAACATAACTTTTAAAATAAATATACTTATTCTGATTGACCAGTACTTTTTTTGGCCCTAGTGTAAAGGGATTAAACTGAGAATGTTTGATATCTACCGGTACTTCATAGATATTTACAAAACTGCCATCTATATCCAATTCATTTTTGATAAGTATATTAGGAATGCATATGATAGCCATCCAAAACATGAAGTGTCTCATTAAGGTAAAAAGCTAGGATATAAGAAGTGGGTAGGATTGCAGTGGGCAGCATTTCTTGTTTTTATTCCTTTCTGGACTGTGAGCTGAGGACATATTCGGTCTCTTCCAATCGTGTCTTAAAGCTAAATGAAAGGTACGCCAACATACATTAAGGGATTCTTAAAAAATCTGTCCTACTTCATTGTGGGCTTGTGTCTGATCTATGAATAAAAGTCTTCCATCTTCTAACACTTATTTTTGTTGATCCTTAAGGTGATTATTTCGACTCATAGAGTGTATTTGATTCATGAATATGTAAAAACCTTAGATGAAGAGAAAACCAAAAATATTCTCGAACATCGGTAGACATATTTTTTAATGTTCACATCATTTAATAGTTAGAATAATATAAAATTCTCGTTGCAACCTAATCATAACTACAATACCAAGACGAAGGTTGACTAGACCCCTGCAAAAATTCTGTCTTCTTTGAATAAAGCATCAGGGAATTTAAGTGGCCTAGGTTTCAACTATCATACAATCATTATTGATGAGTTCATAAGGATATCTTATAACATCAACTCATAAGTTCAAGTGTTGTAGAATTTTAATGAATTTATTATTTGTTCTTCTTTACTGACATTTGCATCGCGCTGAAGGGCAAAATGCCCTATATACTGCTAACAGGCTAAACATAAGTTTCTTAAGAGCTCTTATCTACATTTTGTAAGACAGGACAAAAAACATCAGAAATATAGTTAGATCATAAGTATAAAGACCAAGATGGTGTGGCCCTCTGCTTGGTCGCAGTCT